TTTTTTTTTTTTGGGGGGGGGGGGGGGGGGGGGGGGGCGATTTCTGATAACTCGGACTTCGGATAACTCGAAACGATTTGCCCGGTCCCTAAAAGTTCGAGTTAACGAGTTTTCACTGTATATTGGCAGTTTATTTTTTGAAACACCGTATAGTGTCCACCGGAATGACCCATCCATGATCCCAATCTGAAAAAAGAGCCGTTGTTGTCCAGCTGGTCATCATTGTCGGTGGCCTCCTCGTGGGTTTGCTCCTCTTCTTCCTGCAAAACCCTGCCGGGAAGGACGGGCTGAGTGGATATGACTCGAGAAAGGGAGAGCATTTTACGTGTCCGAGGGATACGAGACCTCGTTTGAACTGCTCACGCACCCCTACTCTTCTGATCGTCTCGATGAACGGCTTCCGTCCGGACTTTTTGACAGAAGAGGCCATGCCTCGGCTTTTCGCTTTTGCTCGATGCGGGGTCTCCACGCCTTACATGAGGACCTCCTTCCCAGCTCGAACTTTGGCGAATCATTACTCCATCGTCACGGTAGGAACGTGCTTTCTTTCCTCGTGCGAATGACTCCCTCTCGATGCATCGTCACGATAAAATTGTGATCGTTTCGTCAGGGTCTGTACCCAGGAGCGTCAGGAGTAGATGGAGATACCGTTAAGAAGGCACAACAGTCGCCATCGAGCCATGGTCAAATGTGGAAAGGGGAACCTCTATGGGTTACAGCCAGGAAGAACGTGAGTTTGGCATCTTACTATCCATGAAATGAAGTTCCAGATTAAGGACAAAAATAGCTTCCCTGACGACTAGGGAAAGAGAGCTGCAGCATACTATTGGCCAGGAGCTGATTCGGACATGACGGTCGAGAAGCCTAACTACTGGTTACCATACAACGAAAATACCCCTTATTTGACGAGGGTTGAACAAGTGCTGAGATGGCTCAACATGACGGATGCTCTCAGACCTCATCTCGTTCAGCTCTTCATAGAAGATCCCGAGAGGACAGCCGAGACCTACGATGTGAGAAGCAAGCAGGTATCCTCGACTTCTGCAATCGCCTCTTTCCCGCATAGATTCCCACGACTGCAAGACCGATTCGTTCTTACAGATGGAGGAAACTCTGAGGAACTTGGATGTGCTGATAGGGATGCTATTGGACAGCCTGGAAAACATCGGTTGGAAGGAGTGCCTCAACGTAGTTTTCCTCTCAGCTCATGGAACGATTTCTGGGAGCAAGAACCATGTCATTGATCTTCGTAAACGTCTTAAAAACAACTATGTGGCAAAGACAGTCGTTGCCCAAGGCTCCCTTGCCATGATTTGGTTCACTGATAGTACTACTTCTGGTAAGACCACGACATAACGAAAATGCTGGCATCTGAGATTATGAACTCTGTGCTCAGGTGAAAAAACTGTATATTGACGCTCTGTCTTTTGCCCGGGCCACAAAAGTAACACCTCCACTTCTTTCGTGGTAATAGCCAACCGGAAAAAGAAGCCGTCCCAGACCCTCACAGAATTAAAATGGAATTCCTTTGCCAGAATGGAGCAACTTCTCTTATGCAAATGAGTCTTCATTTACGTGGTCAGTGTAATGTCTTTTTCCTCCCTTACCACAGAATCCCGCCTCCAGCTGTTGAAAGAATTGGAGTGTCGGAATCCAAACCTGACGATTTATCGCCGTGATCAGGCGCCAAAACGACAGCATTACTTCGCAGATAAATGGAAGCCGGACTGGATAGCGGAAGCCCAGCCAGGATGGCAAATCCTGGCGGGAGGATCCAAAGCCGACGTCGCTGTCCATGGCTATGACACCATTTATCCCAGCATGAACGTGAGTACAAGGTGCAGACGATTGTCTGTCTTTAGTAGGGCATGGCCTATCTCATCCCGCGCTTCCAAATAGGGGATTTTCATCGCAAGTGGTCCTGCCTTCAAAAGACGGGTGAAAGTTCCGCCATTCCAAAACATCGAGTTATACAACATTTTCTGCCGGATTCTGGATCTAAGACCTGCAAGAAACAATGGAACTACCGGTGCACTGCACGAAATCCTTTCGGAGACCCTTACCAGAAGATTTCGTGACAAGGACTACGACGAGGAGAAGGAAAAGCTGAGTCCTCCAATCTTGTACCCAAGAAACGAAAGGAGTACTTCTTGCGGCTGCTCCCTCTCTTCAAAGAAATCAAGTTCCCTCGAGGTTAGTTCATAGAAGAGAGCCAAATGAAAAAAAATCACCCCCTATCATCAACTTCTCATTCATTCTTTGGTAGAAATCCGAGAAAGCGGAAATTGAAAAGCGATCGAATGTGAGGCATATCCCATTCGGAGCCCCATTGGGACCTACGGAGGACAACTTCTCGATCATTCAGCTCATTCAGAGGACATTTGTCACTGGCTTTTCTCCCAAGCTCAAGCAAGATTCAATCCTGAACCCTAAAATCGATTTAATTCTCTTTTGTTTGTTTGCGTGGACTTCCTTAAATTTTCCTTATTGCACAGGATTCCTCTGTGGGCAGCGTACACGGTAAACGAGTCCCGCATCCTCAACTATTCTTGTTGGTTCGCCGATCAGGGACTGCCCGGAGACGAACAGACCCGAGTTGACCCCTGCTGGTGGGTGAATGCTATGTATTCTCACAAATCCTCGTCCTCTAGTCCTCTACTTCCAGGAACGCTTTTCCCTTTCGGTGGGTTGAATTACCATCTCATCGATCTCGTGTTAATATCAGGTTAGCTACAAAAAAGGTTCTTCGCTTCAATTCAGGAGTTGAGGGGGAGATATCCAGCGCTCTCGTCCCTTCACCGCAGGGATTCCCAGCCGGCAACGCAGGGAGAGAGACTTTGAAAAGGCTCATCGCGTTTCATGGTCCCGGGCTACATCTCCATCTCGGCGTCGTCTTTGATTCCATCCACGTCGATGCAATTGCTGATCCTCCTTCCGAAGTCGCTCGATCTGGGTGAGTGAATCTGGGGTATAAATGTCCCTTGCCTTCCTTATATCTATCCAACCGATGTCGCATAGTAACTTTTTCGAGAGTGACTCCCACCTTCACCACCTCGATTGTTCACAGAATCCCCCCTGTTCCGTCGGACATCTTCGTGATAGGAACCTTTTGCCGATCAAGGGTCAAGGCTTTCCAATGCCCTCACAGCGACCTGGACGTCATGTCCTTCATTCTCCCCAACGTCGACAACATCTCGCCATGTCAGGTAAGGCACATGTCAATTGAGGCACAGGTCAATTGTGCCTCTTTAGACTTAGTCTGTGTTACGTGGATGGAACACTGAGCCACGTCCCTCATGTTCCAGTCTCTGGATGAATGGATCATTCGTCATTCTGCAACCGTCAGAGACGTGGAATTGGCCTCGGGACTCCGCTTCTACCCGAAATTGCCCCCCTTGGACTCCCTTCGTCTCCGATTACGCTTACCAGAACTCTCATGGAGGAACATCTTCTCCAAGGATCACCAGATAAACGATTCCTGAGAAGAAATTCTTTTCGTCTAGTCCGAGTGCAATGCACATTCGGTGTCTGAAAGACGCCGATGACTTTATTGTGGAAGATTGAAAGACGGAGTGAATGGCGTTTTGCGCCCACCATCTATCCTCTGTGCACCCCTCAATGATCTCGAATGAAATAGGTCTTCTATGTCATCCTGTGATTCGTCAGCTCGGGTTTCCATGCAGACGTTGGATCTTCTTCTCAACAGCCTTCACGTACTGAGGAGGGACTTTGCTCGCTCTAAAAGTAAACCAACATATATACATAACTACGGGGAAACTATACGTTTCATCATATTAGAAAATAAAGGAGGACATTTCACCTGAGTTGATCGACTTGGAGACGTAATTTGCGTTGTAAATCCTCTTCAGCGCGGAAGGCAGCAGCGAGCTCCTCCGCCACCTGTTTTTCGCGGTCTCTTTTTCTTTGAAGCATTAACCGACGGTTTTCCTCCATCTGCTCTTCCAGCTCCTTCTTGTATTTCACTTGGGTCTGTGAGTCACCAGAAAAAAAGGATTATGAGTGTTCGAGGCTCCCTTTTTTCATGCTGGGAAGACCCTCTTTGCCAATATACCTGTTTATGGGCGACGTCATCTTCTTGATTCATATGTTCAGCAAAAGCAGCTTGTTGAAGCATTGCCTGTCGTTCTTCCTCTTTGAGGCGAACAGCTTCTTGAAGGAATTCCTCCTTCCTGCGGAGGAGTGGAGAATCTCCGCGGGGGACTCCAACTCTCAATGCAGTCGCAGCTGCTAATTCCCTAGCACGCCATTCTCTCGCCACTTCCTCTTCTTTCCGCTTCTCTCGTAATGCCCTCTCTCTATTCTCTCTCTCCACCTCTCTCTCCCTCGCTAGTCGGAGCTTCTCCGAGATCATCTGCCGATATTTCAGCCGCTCTTCTTTCTCTGACGTCAATACTGCCTGCTGTTCCACCTTGCCATCACTGAAAGCCACGGCCTATCATGCGAATCAGGCATAGAAATCGATTTCGCTGTCGGAAGGCATATTTTAATTTCTTCACGAAAACGATACTTCCCTTTTTTTTTAAATTATTACTAATTTTTTAAGGTTTACCTTGGTCTCCTCGAGAAACTCCCTCTGTTGTTCTCTTTGACGAGACTTCTGAAGCTCCAGGTTGGCTTCATATAATTCCTTAGCTCGCAGTTGTTTTTTCTCACGATTTCTTTGTTTTTCTTCCTGAATTTCGACTGCCAAGGCTTTTGCTTGAGCACGATCTGCCTCCCATTCCTGCAAGAGACAGGTCAAAATCCATGATGACGATGTCAGGCACTGATGTGGAAGCTCCGGAATGCATCATCACCTGGAACAGTTTCTCAGCAACCACAATTTTTGTTTTTTGTTTGTCCTCCATTTCCTTCCTGACGTTGAGAGCTTGTTTTCTCCAAGCTGCTTCCTTCTTACACTTCATCTCTTTCTCTTCACGGACCAGTCTCTGGTCTTTCTCGATCATCTTCCAGTCGACCATCAGCTCTTCCTCCAATTTCCGTTTCCTAATTTCAGCGCCATAATGAAAATGTCTCGGCTTACGCTCACGCTGAAACAAGCTATGGACAGAGGTAACTACAGCTACAAAATGTACCTGGCATCCATATTTTCCTTGAGCTGGGCATCCTGGATAATGCGGCACTTCGAGTTGATCAAAATGGAGTTTGACTTCCGGAGGACATCTCCGGCGGCTGCTATGATGGAAATAGCTGCCTTTCCACTTTTGGCTGATCTAGTTGGGGGAATCCGTCGCTGTACATCTGCCGCCATTCCTCGATTGTTGTGCTGGAATTGCGTTGAGAGAGTCGACTTTTTCTTCGCTGAGAGCTTCTCCATTGCAGCTTTTCGCTGCTCCCGTTCGCTGGGCATCTATGATGCAAAAGCGCAGAAGCTTAAAGAAAATACCTCTGCATTGGTTTATTGGCCAAGAGGACACAATCTCGGTGCGACTGTTCTCATCGGACCGCCGAAAGTGATAAAATAAAATACACTTCAATTCAAGAAGTTGAAAAATGTATTGAAACTTTCAAGTGAAAAAGTACACACCACTACTATACCAGCATAAGTACAAACTTCTAGGGCTGTATCAAAATCATTCCAGAAAACTTCATAAAATTCAAGCATCTCAACATCAAGAGTCATTTTGCACTTATTAGAGACACGATAAGTTTCTTGTCTGTTCCGAACGGTCGGTTTCAAATTGCCTTCCCCACTTTGATGAACCCTCTGGATGTGATGGTATGCAAGATCATACCCAAGCAGCATGTTTATGTTAATTTTACGTAAACTGAATGTAAATTTTTTGTCCATTTTATATCTATTTTACGCAAACCATCATCAAGATAATGTCAACATGTTTGCAGCAATGTCACCTCTGGAATACGTAAACGGTGATATAAAATTTACGTAAATTTTACTTAAAATTGACATTCCCGTTTACATCCCCAACAGCATTTTTACATCCATTTTACGTAAAATTGATGTTGATTTCCCCATAATATCCATGCGTATTTAACGAGCTAATTCGTACTTTTGAAGAGAATTGATAAACTGTATTTCTCCCATTCCTTTCCATACTTTGGTACTCAAGGTTACTTGGACGAGTACACAAGTACTCATCATCACCAGCACTCAAGAGTACCAAGATGACTCACTAGTTCCTCCTCCGGTACCAGGACCTCGGGAGGAGGAATGCATGTTTAGAGGAGGTCTCTACCATTAAGGATAGAGATAGGATACTATATCGGGAAAGCCAGTACTTAATAGCATTTGTAGGGTGGAGGGAGCAAGGGTTCCATCTAGTGAGGAATCTTGGTATTGCAACTGCGGGATGGTCAGCTAAAGTTTTATATGGAAAGTGTGATGTTAACTTTGCATAAACTTGATATCATGTACTTCACGATCTTGCATACCATCACATCCAGAGGGTTCATCAAAGTGGGGAAGGCAATTTGAAACCGACCGTTCGGAACAGACAAGAAACTTATCGTGTCTCTAATAAGTGCAAAATGACTCTTGATGTTGAGATGTATTTGTGGGTTTAGAAGCGGACTGTCTAGAAAATGGAAGCCTAAAGTAGAAACCCTGGGCAGGAATCTCAGTGAAAATTATATGGGCTTACACTTAGCTTAGGTACCTCATACTTGATGCAAGTAAAAATACCAAAACTGATATTGTACTTCAGTATAGGTACAGCTACTTGGAGAAAAACGCACTTCCGGACAGACACGAACATAGGTCCCTTAATCATTCTCAAGTACCGATATTTTAAAATGCCCCAATGATATTAAGTAAAGGGCCTGACTAGTTATCACAGAGTCTGATTCCGTTACGTCCAGAAGAGAGAACTTCATCGTTTAGCGTAGGGAAAGGCGTTGCAAATGAAGGACTTAAATGTCGACAGAAACAGAAGGAAGGACTTAGAATAGGAACTCACGGAGAGGATTTGCTCCATTTGAGCCAAAAAATTATCGCTGACAACAGCAGGACGAGCACTGGGCTCAGGTCTTGAATACATCCTGAACTAGTTCACAAGTTCTTACCAAAAACAAAAATTCGAAGGACACAACGACGAGATACGGGGAGGGGAAAGCGAATGCCTGCGTTAGAAGGGGATGTCTCAGAAGGAGAACTGCTGGATACACGAGATCCTGCGTTTGATCAATGTGCTCCGCATTCTCCCTTCACGAGACTAGGGAATATTCCCTTTCTCAATGGTTCTTCTGCCACAAGAGCAGACCCCATTCAAGTACGTTCATAGGACTTCTCCAGCAAGTACATAGGTACGTGGCAGGGACATGGTTTAAGTATGGAAAAGGTAAAGGGACTTCCTGCCATTTTGGATATTCATTTTGAGGTTTTAGATTTTTGCGCTGCAGCCATGGGAGTATAGACTCGAAATTTGCGTACCTTGCGTACACAGAATTGGATAAGCTAAGTTTTTTTTTTCCTACTTGGATCAAAGTGGAAATAAATACCAGTAATTTTCCAGCAGGAAGCCGGTGAAGAAAGGTACAGGGCCTTCCTCTTCCCAATCATGCCAATTTACTTTTTGGATACTTTTTTATTATTATAGATAACTTCGTCCATTGGGGATGATGAAAGGATGAAGGAACCTATGTTAGACGGAGGGATCGGGCAAATCCAGAGAAGAGAAAAGGAGAGGAATCCTGGTACTTAAAAGAAACGCAAGAATCATGAACCCCTCGTCACGAGATGGGGATTTGGAGCGAATCCGTCGGAGCTGATGGCCATGCTCTAGCGGGGGTCCTGCATGCGCGCTTATTTACGGGTGAACGACCGTCCGCGGATAGAGTGGCTGCCTTTTCTCACTGTCTCACACATCGGCTTCCCTTGCCTTGCTTCGCAGCCTCCAGGGCCATTCAGTGTGAGTGCGGAGTCAACGCAAGAGTGAATCTTCCATGGCCATTGCCATGGATAACATGAGTCTGAGGGTGCTGTGGATTGTCACCATGACAAGGTTGGGGAACGGATTATCCATCCTGTCATTCGGTGGTTCGGGCAACATAGGATCAGAAGTTCTAACGCAACTCATTCCAGAGAGTCATGACATCACCCTGGTTAGTAGAGGGAATTGGTACTTCGATTCTAGTCAGAGAATCCTCCCCCATGTGAATTTCATACCGTGTGATCGATTCACGAACTGTGGTGTGCCGTGGGGGGACTGCAAAGCTCTGCAAAGGTGTACGGAATTCATGGATTTCATCAAGGAGCGACACTTTGACATCGTCTTTGACTTCAGTGCTTATCAGCCCCAAGTGATTCGTAATGCTCTTGATGTTCTCAACGGCAAGGTTGGCGTTTACGTTTACGTGAGCACGGATTCTGTTTATGAAGTGTCGAAAGAGAAACAGCACGATGGTCCATTCTTGGAGTCAGATGCAGTGCGACCGACTGATCCAGAAGAAAGGGAACGGCTAGCCAAAGAGGATTCGTACGGACACAATAAGTTAGCTGGAGAAGAAGTATTGGAGCAGGCGTATCGCAACGGGACTGGTCCAAAATACATAATTTTTCGCTTACCAGATGTCCTGGGACCAAGAGATACAACTGAGCGCTTATGGCTGTATCATCTGTGGATCAAATACTATCATACCATCGAGAAACCCATTTACGTCCCTCCACACGTGAAAGATCTCGAAACCAGCATGGTTTATGTGAAAGACGTGGGGCAAGCGTTTCGGAAAGCTGTCGAGAAAAGCGACACATTGGTTAATTCCATTTATAATCTCGGTTCCAGCGAAGACTTCAACCTTTCTAGATTCCTTCGCCAATATGCGAGCATTTTGAATGTATCAGATGTGGAGGAGGATAACGAGGACAGCGAAGACTCGTTCGTATCATTTCCTTCGGTTCTTCGTGGATCGGTGGATATTTCCAAGGCAAAAGAGGAGTTAGGCTTCGAACCGACTCCATGGAAGGAAGCCATGCAAGAAACAGTGGCTTTTTATGAGGAAGGATTTTACAAATTTCCAGAAGATAGACAGGAAATAGTTGATGTTCTCGTGGAGCACGTGGTACCAAAAGAAAGGCTCCAGGCCTTCCAAGCTGCACTCGACGCAGACCTTGCTAGTTTCCCCCCAACTCAGGGTGAGATTGTCCGAAAGTTCCATTGCGGCATAGTGGTATCGTGACACTTGTCACAAGGTCATTCTGTTGCACGCACATACTGGTCTTTTTTCTACTTGCAGGTATGAAGGAGGAATTATAGCATTGGGGATTCTGTGATGATGGATTCATACCATATCAAGGATAGCTGCATAGAGATTATTTAAAAATAAAATCCCAATGCTTTTTCTTCCCACCAAACTACTGATCAAGGGTTCCAAGGAGAGTCTCTCCCATCAGACACGACTCCTTGCTCTGAAATGTAATATGTTTTCGCTTTGGCTTTATTTTTGCGACACTCGCAATTGAAATTGAGAGTATCGCAATTCTGCTAGTGTTAATCATGCGAATTGAACACCCTGAGGCAAGGAAATGTTACACATGCACCTGCGTGAAGGTCCATGTGTAATATTTCCATGCTTATCTTTGGCTTTTAAAAGCCATCTCTCCTTGGCTTCTCGCCCAAGAACGAGAGCTCATTAAAAGTGACACCCGAAATTAAAGAGGTCTAAAAGTTTCATTGAATGACATACAATAACATTAAAGTGATACAATGCTGTCGAATCGACAAGGTAAATTCGTGTTCTTTCTTCAGAGATACAGTGGCAAACCGGAGGGGGGCAAGCAAAAGAAATGAAGTGAACGCGAAGCAGTCGACTTTCCAAAAAATTTTTGTTCCGAGAAATTTTTGTTCAGCAGAAAAAAGGGTTTTACTGTGAACGCATCAGCTGGTAACTCAATGTGTCAAGACGAATCGTGATAAGAGAGGGGTCGAGGAGCTACTTATATGCAGATGAACACTCTTCAGTATTCTGCTCCTGAAGGGGGCGACCAAAAATTAGACTTCTCCCTTTTAGCCTTTTTAGTCCTTGACTTTTGGAAGAGCATTTGGAAGTTCGATTTCTTAGTAGCTAGAAAGAGTATTCCAACAAATATTGAGAGTGAAGGCAGTTTTATGCGTCGAACAGCCTTCTTCAGAAAGTTTACGATTTTGAGACATGAATTAAGTGGAGAAAGTCATCATGTTTACTGCGATGAAGTATAGTGACGGAAGGATAAGTCTCCGAAATGTCCACAAGTCCACAACTCGTCCCAGTTAAATGTCCCCACATACATGATTTTCATATGACACATCAAACTCGGGGTCGGCTGATTGATTTATTGAGGAGCGAGACACGCATTGAGGTGTAATAGAAAAAAAGGCGGAAAATGTCCTAATGGGTGAGCTTCATTTTGTCTGCTATGACTCAGGATATAGCGAATCAATTAACAAGCAGCTTGTGTCTAATAATAAAAAATAAGAAGCATTGCTACCTGAAAAGGGTATTGAGTTTCAGATACAATATCTACTTGGAGAGTTACGGCAGCACAGTCAAAAGTAGGAGGCATTAGGACAGCTTATGTCGTCATTGTATGAACTGGCACGCAAGGTAATCGGACCTAAATCCAATAGTACATGCCTGGGACGACGTGTAGCGGGCCGAAATCAGCTACTTCTCACCATTAAAGACCTTACGACTGTCTTCACAGAGGAAATGGCTAGAATCCCGCTGGAGCTTCTCAGCACATCAATTGGGAGCGTACCACATTGCTTCACCAAAGGCCCTCATTGCTGCCTGTGGTGACCACACTCCATGTTCAGGTCACTGGTGGATAAGTATTGATATATACAGTATGATAGAGGTTAAAAAAGATGAAAGGGTGAAACAGGTAGAAAAAGGTAAAACACATTTCCGGTCACGGTACACTCTAGAACTTCATGCATATAGTTGGGGAATACACATCATTCGACATCACATCATAAAACAATCTTACGTTTCACATCAACTCTATTAGCGCATTGTACCTTGACAGGTTTTTATTATTATTAAGGGGTGTCAGAGGATCGGAAACACAGGTGACCGTTCAATTATATTTTTGGAATAGTGGATATTCAGATATGAATTTCAGCTGGATTGATTGAATCTCATAGACAAGCGCTGGCATATCAAGTCAAAGTTCGTGAAAATTGGGAAAAATACGAGGTGCATTCCAAAAGTTGGTACCGGAGGCCTTTTCCGACCAGACTCAATACTGCAGCGTCATTGTGGACAGTGGGCTATCGTCCTCGGTCTCTTGCCTATCATCTGAAAACTTGGTGTGATTGATTTGTAAATTGTTTTGTGGACGCTGCATACATTTTTGCGATTCTTATTTTGGACAGTGGCACATAAAACGAACTTCACTCATGATGAGCAAAGAGCTGCCTTGAAATTTCTATCGGCACGTGGAGAAAAAGGGCTGAAATTCACCGATAGCTGTTCTGACACACCCAGTCCCAAAAGGACTAACTTAATGACCAATACTACCGGGACGTACTACAAAATGAACTGCTTCTGGCTGTGATTCAACTCTGCCTGCAGCTCGTGAACGGCAAAGCCATACTCTACCAGGACAACGCACCACCTCACACCGTTCCTGGTGTCACGCAGTTTTTGATGGAAGCGGGATCGAAACTTGGCCTCACCCACCCTATTCACCTCATTTGACTCCCAGAGACATATAGCTGTTCAGCAGGCTGAAGAATTAGCTTCGGGGCTACCGTTTCGTCTCAAGAGCTGCACTTGGAAGTGTGATTTATAATTAGTTCAAATGTATCAGTGAAGATTCGTTCGTTCAGTGCTACATAGACTGGATAAAACGGTGGTGACTGTCTCGAGGAAAGAGGCTATGTTGAAAAGTAAAACGTGAGCCAGCTTTGTCCCTCCACTCGTATGCGATCTAAATTCCACACTAAAACGGTATGGACTCTTGAAATGCACCTCGTACATTTTCCCGCCATGTATCTACTTTCAAGTGATCGTCCATGGACTAATAGCCAGGGCTGGATTAAGAAGTTCCGGGGCAAGTGGATTCTTGGTCCCCCCCCTCCTTAATCCGGCCCTGGTGGATTGTTACCGTCCGAAACGCATGCAGATGGCGGCACGAATCGGGTCTTGGCAATAGGATGCCTCCTGCGCATTGCGCAAATCTAAGAGGGAGGGGGGCGGCATATCCAGTTCCCGTTCGGGACACGTGCACCTCACCTCTGCGCTGCATGACTCTCACGCGGGACTTGCCAGGTACGAAACCTTCCACGCACCCTCCTGTCCTTGCACTGCAGCGAGGTTGTGCGTGTAGGCCTGTATTTCGTGAGCTCATTGAGCATATCCCCAAAGGCTCAAAGATTCTTACGCCCCAAAATTTAGAAGACTGGTGCGGAATGGCCTTTTTGCTTGTTAGGTTGTGAATGCGTGGGATGGGGTAGGTGCCTTCACAGACAAAACAAAAAAAAAAAAACGTAAAAATATTACTATGACTTGGGCTGGAACTTAATGCAAATGAAAAATTTTCTCCTGAAGCTGTCTTTTTTTCACGCAATTTGAGTATCTCATCATTTCTGCCACCCTCCTCCCTGAAAGTGTACAAAGAACAAGAGGGGGGGGGGGGGACACACTTTCTGCTTAGGGGTGACTGAAATCTTGATGCTGCCCTGTGGGCTTTATCTTCCTTTGAAGTGTCTGGTTACCAATTGCCCATATGAGTTTAGGCTGAATTGAATGAATAAATATGCTCTTTGCTTGTCCTATAATCACATTACCACCTTCATGTCTTTCAATGTGCATTTTGTGCATGTTCTAAGTGATTGATTATGCTAATTTCCCATTAAATTCTACAGTCCCTTATTTTTGGAATTTTCATACTTAAAATCACAGTCATAGCTACAAGTAACTAAAAGTACATGATTAACTAGCTCTCACAAAACCATCTAACTTAGGAGGAGTAGGCTTCTTAACACTAGAATTACCAGGGCAGTCATTTTGACTGCTCACCATTTTTATATACTCTGCTTGTCAGGGCAGTTTCTAGGTGTGTTGGTGCTCAGGGCAAGAAGTTCCAACGGCGCCCCCCCTCCCCCTTTCCCACTCTGGCGCCCTCCCCCATCCCCCTTTACCCCGTTTGCGCCCCGGGCAATCGCCCGCTTCGCCTGCCCCTAGAAACGGCCCTGCTGCTTGTCTGGCAACTAATGGCCTCTGGTTTTACTTTTCCTATCTAATATTGACATTTTGAACATACAGTCCCAAATAGCATCTGGAAATAACAAATAATGTTCAGCTTAATGTTTAGCATAATGATGACAACAGTCTCAGGGCCAACACCATAGCAGTTACATTTAATAATGGGCCAAGGTTACACATCTCAGACAATTTGCTACAGGTTCATTTGTCCACCATTTCTGTCAACTCCATGTATGGTATAAGATTGGCTATGAATATAAATCTGAAAAATTTTTCATTTTCCTACTGCATAGTTCCTTACTTAGCATTTTCCTTATTATCCATAATTTTTAAGGGGGCCAAATATGGTATTGAATTGTACAGATATTTGAGAGGGTTATTAGGGACACCCATATGGAAAAATCATATATGATTTCATGAGAAATGGGGTTTATGATCTATGGGATATATGTGGTATATCATATATGATATTATATGAACACATATTAGAGAAAATGTCTGATCATATCTTCTTTGTGAAACAGTATATGATCATATATAGCAAGGCCATATAAGAATTTATAAAAAGCTTATATGAAAAAGATATCGAGGAGCAGATAAGATTCTTGTATGAGTTAGTATGTCTATCTAGTACATAGTGGGGCATATATGTCACACCTGCTAGGAGACAGGACCAAATCAAGAATCAAACATACATGAAATCATGTTGCTCTCACTTGTCTCTCTCAAATGTCAAAAATAACTTTAGGTACTAAGCTGAGAATTGGTACTCCATCTGTCACTTCCGTGAAAATACAAAAACTATTCATTTCAAATTAGCACATCATTCACTTCTCAATAGTGAGAAGTCCCAGAGATAACTAGGGTAAAATCATCTAAATTTGGACATTATCATGCACATTGTTACAAACCCAAGCATTGATGAGCTCTCCCTCAGAAACAGTTCTTTGCTGCTTGGAAGAGCTATTTCTGTGTTTCTGAGGGTGACCTCGCAAATGTTTTGTTTTAAAAAACAATTTCTTCTATGGTGTCTGAAATTAGATGGTTTTAGTCTATAAGGAACTTCTCAGTGATATCAAAATATCTGGGTACATTTATTTTTGAAGTAGACTCATTTCCTGCCATACAGGACAACCCTATGTTTTTAAAGGGTTGTCTCATTTGGTTGTCTTCGCCTGATGATGTCTAAAAGACATCCGGCAAAAATTTTGCTCTTATATTTGCAAGTGATTGGTGGACATTGCTGAGGATTCTCACTTAATCTTACAGATCCTTATGACATTTTGGTCTGTTCAGGAACAGTACCTTAGAGGGTTCAACCACAGATTTTTGCTTAACTCACATAAAAATTGATATCATGACATCGGAAATCTGAATTTCTAGTTGACAACTAGCCCATCAAAGTCAGAACAACTGTGAATCTGACCATCCTGTTTTTGCTCCTATCTAACCAATTCCATATTTAGTTGATTTTATAAATTCACACAATGAACTGTAGTTGGCAGAAAAAGTGTATGTTGATACCTATATAAATAATTAATTTAGAGTTCTAAAGCCAGCACTCAAGCATCATTTGAAAAATAACATTGAAGGGCATAAATATGAGTATGGTAAAACCACCAATGTTTGGACAGTTAAGCTGGGATAGGATTGTAATTCGCTTGTCATACCTTAATGGTGCAACCCAGATACTTAATTTTTTGCATCTGGCTGCACAATATGAGTAGGTATGAGTCTGATAACGATGATGACCATGGAAACCTTATAGCTTCCAATAATTCCAATTATGTGGGTCTCAGAATTTAGATGCAAAAAACGAAGTTCGATCAGAACAAAGTTCAGACACACCAGAAGTAAGGCAGAAATCTGCTCATGGCATGCATATTCTGTTGTAGTAGTGCTCTATGTTCCCTAGTTTCCTGTGGAATAAGAATTGATCACAGAATTAACAATATCGCTTGGGAAGTGTTACTCAGTAAGGTCATCACTGTTCATTTTCTTGCATTTATCCTGTCAGTGACATGACATACATTTCTGCCCAATATTTTGAAATCTTGCTCAAAGATTGTGGCCAGCACAAGTCTTTTGCTCAGTAATGTGGTCATCTTGGGTTAAGAAGAACTCTCTCTGATGTGGATCTCACAAGTGTGTATTTATTAACAACAAAAGTTAGAGTGTCCAAACTTAGGTGGTTCTAAGTTGGTTTGAATCATGATTTAAAAAAATACTTTCTTCTAATTACCAAACCCTGGTATGAGAAGTGCCATGAACAGGTGCCATCTTAGTGTTAGACTCAGGTGAATAAAACTGCTTGTTTATTCATAAAGCACTATTTGTTTAGACACTGTGGGCAAAATTTTTTAAGCTCTGCCAACTTAATAATGACAAGCATTTAGTAACTACAAGGTAGTAGCTTCAAAAAAATGTCATTTTTCAAGACCACCACCAACTTTCAGCTTGTTAGCAGCTAGTAATTAAAGAAGCAGTTGGGTTAGGAATAGATTTGGCAACACTCAATGAAAATTATGCATATCTACCTCAATGGCAAAGGTTAATATTGTTTTCAGTATACTCTTTCAGACCTGTGCCTTGTCAATCATGCTAATTTTTGTCATAACTACCTATATGTATCATATTTCTTTGCATGTCCAAGAATAATTAGATCAATATGAGCAAAAGTTTTGCTGAGGATCTAAGATTGCAAGACTGATCTGTTGAAAAGAAGGAGCTCCAGTTTTTTGGGAATAGAGGAGTCTTAGGGAAGAAGAAATGGAAGTGTCACCCAAAGCAAGAAAAAAAAGGCATGGAATGGATTCCTGCAGAGATTTCACAGCAAGAAGGGAGTGACTTTAAAGTGAAGGAAAGAAAGCAACAAAATGAGACAATGAGAAGGTTCTGCTGAAGTTTTCACTTCCAAAAAGATGAAATCATAAAATTTTCCAAAATTTATTTGTGATTTCTAGTTTTTGTATTTCATGCGTATTTCATGAAAAGTTTTCATGAAATACGCCTCCGAAAGTTAGAAGTAGATATGCACCATTTTTTAGACCTACCTATTTTTTAAAGCTACATTTCGCTTAATTTCCCCATGCCACAGAAAAAGGGAAGTACAGGGAAAAATGTGTGAAAGTGAGCACAAAGAGTGCCTCTCCATTTTCCCAGCAGTAATACTTTGAAATTATTTCACAGGGATTTTTATTCAAAGAAATGTACTGTGAAGAGCATGAAAAGATGATGGAAATTTTAATTTGTGAGAAAAATTACTGGGAACAAAAGATTTTGATGCTGCAGACAGACAACAGTAAGTTGGCACATTCAACCAGAACATAGGTTATGACTTGCCATTTTCTGGCAATGCATCAGGAATTTCCTGCATATCATAGGAATAATCACTCAAACTGAAATGAGTTAAATTGAGCCTCTTAGGATTAGAGTTTGTTTCTAACTTCACATCTAAGCCCTATTCCCCTGTAATCTCATCAGGTTAAAAGGGAGTTGTATTTAGAAGGGGAGTTAGCAAGGGCTTGTTGGGGTTCCAGAGTTAGAGGGGAATTATGGAACTCTTATCACTTGTGTCTATTAGCCTAGTATTATATTATAATTTCTTCTAGCTACTTCTTGTTCCAATATATTCTCCTTCATTTGATAACTCAAATGAAAGGACATGTTTTAACTGACTGACATGCCCTATGCAATTATGTTGGAGGCAATGCCAAGGTCTTTAACTTTCAAAATAAAAAAACAGTGATTTAATTTTAATTGAATTATTTAATATGAGGAAGTGCAGAACATTTTTTAAATGTTACCACTGCCTGGCAGTTTCTTTTGGTTAGTTTTTAATAATTTTGAAGAATTCCTGACTGCCCTTGTCAGGTCATGGAATCCGCAACTGCTACTGATTTCAAGTTTTCTCCAGAGGACAGTAACCCTGAGTGGAGATATGAAAACAACAGGCATCAGAAAAGTGAGAAAGGGACTAAAAATTCAAGAAAATAAAGTTTGAAGAGCAAGATTCGGGTAGGTATCAACATAGGAATACTTCTAATGAGTTAGCAGGTATGAGGAAGCATACACCTGCTAAGTGGAGTTGGAAAATAGCAGCCAAGGAATGGCAAGAGAAGCAACACAAGAAGTGCACTGGATGGGAAGTTGCCTTAGGATGCTCTGAAAAAGCTTCTGAAGTTCAAGAGCAAGTTCCAAAGTCTTCAGATGCTGATACAGAGAAGGTAGCTAAAGCAAATTACAAAGATGTACTGTAAATGAGATTCCAATTAGAGCTTTTGCACTGGTTCAAATTTTCTGCTCTGAATAAGGGCAAAGTTATTAATATTTCTTTTAGAATCTTCAATGATGTAATTCAATTATGTAATCATCTTCTCATCTTCATGGGATACAGTCCATCAAGATTGGTGTCTCTTTCCAGGAAAAAGTGGTGTCACAGGCTAGATGTGATGATGACTGTGATACAGACACAAGCATCAACATCACAACAAGAACTCAGTCCCCATCCCCAACCCCAAGCTCATCTGTAGATCTTCAGGCCTCATCTCCATGTTCATCTGCAGATAATTCTTATGAGAATATCTTCCTTTCATGTACTTGGTCAGAGTTGCCAGAAGAGATGCTTTCAGAGGGATCTCCTACCATTGAGCACTGCAGTATAAGTGACACAGGTTCTTTCAACACACTAGGATCACAACTGTCAAGTACTGGATCTGATGATGTGGTTCTTCCAACAGTCAGCAATATCACAAATAGTGCTCAGCAGTTTATCTTTCATTACCATGCAACATCCATTGATGAATTGAGGTCAACCCCTGTATCTCAGTTGGATTGCAAGGCCATTCCTTCTGGAATCACCAAGAGAAATCAATGGAAATATGATCATGTCATTCACTCTCCATCTGGTCCCTTCTTTGTGAGTCAGATCAAGCCAGATATGAATAATCTGTGTCCTCTGAATGAGCAATCAAGGTTCAAGCAAGTGAAGCCTGAAGTATTTCCATCATCATCTCAACCCATTCCAGTTGGTATAGTACTCAGTGAAAGAAATTTGAGGAAGGAGGAAAAAGGAATGGGGATTCATTGCATGCACCCGGCAGAACAAGGGAAGCTGGCATGGGAGAAAAGACAACAGCTCATTCTAAGTCTGAGAACTCAAACATATGATTCTCCCTCAGCACTAAAACCACTGAAATTGCAGAAGCCCTATGAAGTTCCACTAGAGGTAAGCCTCAGAACCCAGCCTTAAAGCCCATGTTTAGATACCTTGCATTGGAAGTAGTATTGATCTCCAAAACAATATGACAGCTTACTTATGTCATGTATAGGATCCATATTGTATTATTGGCAAAATATGCATCATCATGTTTTTTTAAAAAAACAAGATGAATTTCAAATTCTATGGGAAAAAATGGGTGAGTACAGGGTGAGTCAAAAGTCACTGGATGACTTTGAACAGCTATAACTCAGCAAGGAAGGCATTAAACTGCAAACGGTTTTTTGCATATGAAAGAGCATGCATTAATTGATGAAGCAACTTGGAAATTTCAATGAAATACTAATAAGAAATACGATGAGCCTGCACAAAACGAAATGCAACATTTTTCAACATAAAAGTGACATTTAGGGTACAATGGATGCCTCATTCATGGTTATTTTCTGTTCATTTTTGCTGCTCCAAATGGTTTACTGATAATGCCAATGAACTATCTTTGGAGAAACATGTCACCATCATTCATGTCTTCTCTATCTGTGAAGGAAATCTTTCTGAAGTGAAGCATTGTTTTGCTCTGAAGATGGATAGGCCGGGTCGAGCCTATCAAGTGGCCTCCTAGGTCCCTGGACCTGACTCCACTCCACTTCTGACTGTGGGGTTTCATTTAAAGACCAGGTAAATGCTGAAAGTTTACGCACGATCAATGAACTGAAGCAAAGCATCACTGAGAAGATCACAAGAGGTTGCCTCTCAGTGACAGCTTGCGTGATCGAGCTTGATGGTGCTCAAATATCATGGCCAGTAATTACAGTCCTTTTTACACCAATAAATAGATTGATAATTTTTTCAAAGTTGCAAATTTGTTACTTACTACATGCTCTTTCCTATGCAAATAACTATTTTCAAATGAATGCCTTCCTTGCTGAGTTATAGCCATTCTAAGTCATTCATTGACTTTTGACTCACCCTGTACTTTCATTTCAGGTCAGCATTGGAGCTATTGTGACTCATCTGTTATGCTTAAAAGGACATCCAATTAAATATTTTGAATACAAAAGTTTATTGCACAGAACAGTACTGAAAAGTAAGCATAATTTCAAAGAAGCATTTGAAAGTATAGCACTTATAAGTGCTACAAATTTCAGAATCATGATTTTCAAATATTTGAAATGTTGATTTTTATTGGAAAAATTTTTGGATTGTTTTCTTAGCTACATGATTGTTCTGAATGAAAATAACTGCATTCTGAAAATTAAAACTAGGTCTGCAGAGTTATAGGGGAATATTAGTTCACTTTACACAAAGATAATAAACATTAATTTGAATAAGTTTGAAAGTCTCTGACCTCTTCTGTTATCTTTGGCATTCTTGTTGTGGAGGTGAAAAATTTGACATTTTTATTTTTTGTTTACTTTTTGGTGATTCTGGCTGAAAACACCCAATTTTTTTATTATCAGTTTTTATTTTTTGCTCATAGTCTCTCCTAAAAAAAGGCAGTACCTAATGTCCCAAAAGCAATCCTGGCTTAAGTCCATCTGGCAGTGCCACAGCTAAACGATCTATTAGCTTGACCAGCCTCATGACTGAAATGCATGGTAGACTCAAGCCTATGAAGGAAAAAGAAGGGGGGAAGGCTAGATGTGAAACAAGCCTATAAAAGAAAGGCCCTACCATGCATTCAGTGTACTGTGTCTTGCTTTGACAGATTGGAACAATGCCCAGATTGCTTCTGCTACCTTCAGGCCTTGGCCTCAAGGCAGATTAGGCCAATAAAACCTGACCAAACCTCAACTCTTTCATTTTTTAGCTTCCTTAAGCTTTACCCCAATTCTGCAAGCTATTTACAATAATTTGGCCTTCAGATTTTGGTCTTTGTCTTTCTAAGTTCAGAAGCTGGGCGTTTTCTGCTGATCTGCTTGTTGCATATTGTTGGTTGTTTTTTGAAGATTTGTTGAACATGTAAAATTGGGATTTAACAGCAAGAACAAAAATCATGGAGCTGTATTTTCAGTATGGGTCATTATTTACTGAAATTCCCTGGCCTAACTGCCCTAGATTTCTTATTGTGGAGCATTATAAGAGCAATATTTACCAAACTATACCTCAAAATGGAGAAGAGTGGAAAAGAACCATCTGGCAGTTCATCAGAGGGATTAGCATAAAAACATTAACAGCAACAATGAACCATGTTTTTATGCATTACAGAGAGTGTATTAATAGGTCATATTAATCAAATAATTTTCTGCCAGTAAAAAAGGCATCTCTTTATGAAGTGAAAGATAAAAGTAAAATAATAAAAATCTCTCTCCTTCATGTTTGTTTAAGTTTCGTTTTGTAAATATTGTGTTATTTCAATTATTATCAAATTAAAATTGTTGCACAATTCGTGGACCACCCTGTATAAGAAAGCAGAAAAACAAGGTTGTTCAGAATACCCTGTCTTCTTTACAGATTGGGCCAGAAAAAAAAGTTCTATCCTCTTCCTTTCATTGTTTAATCAGTTCTAAGTAATATTTGTTTATGCAATTTCATGGACAAATAGTAATACTCTTTCCTAATCAAATGAAATTCATTTAATCCTTTCAATTCTGAATTATGTTCCAAGCAAGAAAAAAATGTCATATAATTTTTGGGCTTCAACAAGGTAACATAAAAGTGCTTTGAAAGTGGTTTCCTCAAGTAAAATTCAATTATTTTAATTATTTAAGCAAATTAATAAAATCATGTTATTTTATTAGTTATATTAATATTCTTATCCCTATTTAATGTTGTATGTTTCCCAGTATTTCTGTACTACTACCTATTACCTAGCTTCCAAAAACAGAAAAAATTGACTGTGGAAGAAATGTCTTAGCTGAAATAAATATATATGATGACATAGTTTTTGAAGTGCCAGAGAAAATACAGCAGCTTTATATTACTGTGAACTGCTGTCAACTTGAAACATGTGGTGAACTATTAAAAACAAGGACTCTTAATCGTGCCATCTTCAAGGTCATGCATTTCTATATAGCCCTCTAACATATGTGAAAAAATGCAGGACTCCTGAGTCCCACTAAGATTAAAAGGATTGAAAGAAATACTGCCAATATTATCACACTTTTTGTGGTGGAAAGTAAAAAAATTTGTAGTTGTGAATACATTACTGCATTAATAGATCTAATCCTTAATGTCTGTATTTATCAATATTTATAGGATCAATATTATCAATGTCCTAGATGGAGAATTCATTTAAGCATAGATAGCCAAAATGATGAATTAAGTCAAATTTAAAATTATGCATGTTGAATGAAGCAAGTATGAATGCTTGGGGGATGTTCATCCTTTCATTGGAAAGAAAATATTGCATGCATAACTATATTTTACATTGCACCACAAAATAATTTTAGTGTGCAAAATTTTGGCCACATTTTCTTGAAAGAAAGTGCATTCAATCTAGAAGAATAGTGCTATTTATTTCCTTGGGATTAATTATTGGAATTTTTTTGTTTAGTTTATATGGCTTTCTATCCATCCCCCACCCCAACCCCCTTGTTTCTACTGTTTCCACAGAAGCTCATGTGTGGTTCCTTAAAAGAAAGACTGTTATCCTTTTCATGGCCTTTTTGAATTGTGACTAAACTCTACCTTCTCCATCTTGTCTCAGCACTACATGACTTCATGTGTATGAAATGATGAAAAGGAATATGAAAGAGGAAGAAGAAGATTCATGAGGAAAAAATAACTCAGGATTGTGGGGGAATGCTTCAGAAGGAAGAAAATGGTTAGCCATGGGGAACAAAGTTTGGAAAAGTCTCAGATCTGGTGGATTTTCAGTGAGAACTGGAGGAATAAGAGATCTTGGAGGTAGTAGTATAATGTATTTTTCAGGTTCAATTAAGTGGTAAGGTCAAATAGTCATTTAGATGATTTAAGCCTATATTTGTAGCTGAGAAAGTTTCCTAAATATCATTGAGGGGTTAAATATCATTTGGAGCTTTGTTAATGCAGAGCAAGGTTCCTCAAAATTTACTCAATGGTAACAGCAGAAAAAAGGATACTTGTTCAAGTTGCATAGCCTCAAGTAATACGTAAGTTACATAATTACTTTACTTTCTTTTTTTTTGGGTAATTAATAGGTGGAGCATGCTAGGTGATACTGCAGTGGCTATCCCTTCTGTATATAACTTCAAGAAGTTGGCTTCATGAACAAAAAAAAGGGAGCAATATAGCTATAACTGGGCAATTGATTAATATGCTTCCACCAATAACATTCAGAGGGGGAGACCTGATTCAGGTTGCAGGGGGGGGGACTTGTCTTCAGATCCCTCCTAATGCTTAGGTCGTCAATATGGGAGAAATTCCTCTTGGCCTCTCAGTCAAAACCCTGAACATTTGTAAGATGCATCTACTTGCAGTCTTCATTGGCACATGTTCAAAGTAGTAGTTAGCAAATAGAATAATTACACAGTTGCTACAGTATGCTACATACGTAGAGCATAGGCATTTAAGACTTTGAGTGAAATAAATGTGCAGCTTTGTCTTTCTATTAGTACAGTGCACATAACGCAACAGTGAATGAAGAAACATTATACTTCTCAAGTGTACCAGCATTTAGAAACTTGGAATATATTACATTTGCTTGCAGCTACATGTGCGTCTTATCACCCATCTGAATTGCAAATACTCTTCAATATGTTATCTGGTGTTTCAACAAAAAATAGTCATTGCAATCGTGCAGGATTTCAATGAAGGGCTAGTACCATTCTACAGACTGGTGATTGAGAAACTAGTATCATGTAAACTTCCTCTGTTGGAGTGCTTGGTCATGACATAATACTGATTCTGCAGGTAATGAGTATCTGAAATTCCATAATTTGAAAAAGGATATGTAACTACATGAGGAAAAAGGGAACCAAGAAACTTGACTTTGACTTTAATTCTAAGAATGGAACTTTCACTTTTTTTATTTTTGGGAAAATTTTGGAAAGTTTAGATGCCTTAAGGATGAAAATGGCACCTTCTACTTGTAATTTTATTTATTTATAGGGGCTGTAGCCCATTTTATGACTATGATGCTAACCTCCAGAGAAAGAAAAAAAAAAGCCAAAGATACACTGCACATCTCTCTTTACTTAACCATTTTGCTATACGTCCTCTTTCACAGCAGAGGACTATAAGATTAAATGAAAGAAACCAGTATTACATTGCCATAGTTTTTGGAAATTAATTGCTTTAATCTTGACATTAGAGTTCTAGCCTGCATTATCACATATACATTCAAATGTCATTTTAAGTATTTACACTTGAACATCTTTCATGCTGTTTTCCTTCCAGATAGGAATGAAAGGTGAGTTTCTCATCTGTATTGAAATCTATAGGGTACACAACAAGACTTATAGGGTATACCAACTTTTAACTTGAAAATATCTCTGATCTTACTGCAGCTATTTTCACAAAACTTTTACTTTCTAATGCATAAACTGATATTTGCATATGACTTTTTAAATTCAATTAAAGTTCATCATGCCAAAGCATGGCTGTGAACAAGCATTAAAAAAAAGTTGGGTATTGAAAAAGAAAGGGATCCCTGCCTGGAGTTGAAGGGAGACAGAATCTTCATGCTTTGGGTACATATGAAGAGCTTTGGCATTTTGTGGAACAACAGAGGAAGTTTACATGATACTAGTTTCTCAACCACCAGCTGTAGAATGGTACCAGCCCTTCATTGACATCCTACCAGATTGCAATGGCTAGTTTTCTCTGCAGGGGAGTCCCCCATACATTTGAATTTCAGATTTCCTTTTATTCTTGCAGCAGTGAAAGGAATTTACTTTAAATTTCAAAGGGTTTTGAGATTGTATCAATCAGTCTATGCACAGTAGAAGTTTTGTAAAAATGGCTCCTGTAAGTGCAGAGTAATATTAGTTTAGTGTTGAGGGGGGGTGTCTTTTATTTGGTATGCTCAGTACATATGCATGTTGTCAGGGATTTGTAGTCCATTTACATGGAGCATGCTAGATATACTACTTTCCAATTTTCTTTAATGGTCAGTTTTATGGCAAGTTTTTGGAACTCATGCACAGGAAACCTCCTTCTAAAATTTATCAGTTTTTAATGGATGTTATCCTAGTTTATTCAAAATGGGCAAGAAATAAATCATTTTATGTCTAGTAATGCAGAGGGTATGTTTGACTGAAAACAGTTCTACCACAGGGTAACTAATTGACTTTATCTGGAGAGAGCCTCTGACTTCATGGTTTTTCTTACAGGGGAGGCCATACACTCCTCCTACACGTGACAATATCCCAGGACGATATTCTCTTGATGTGGAGAACCTGAAGGAGAAGTACATTGACACACATTGTCACTTGGATTTTCTCTTCTCCAGACTTCGTTTTGAGGGCCCACTCAGCTTGTTCCAAGAGACAAATGCATCAGACTTTCCCTCAGCATATGGGGGCTGCATTGCTATCTTCTGTCAACCAACAACTTTCCATAAGGTGGAGTACTGTATTGAGATCAATGCATTCTCTTTTAATGGTTTGTAATACAACTGACTACATCAGAGAGATCTAGTTAAACCTAAAGATGTAAACATTGCTATTCCTGGATAGTTCCTCATATGAAAAGGCATGGGTGTGAGATTTCACAAGGATACCCCTTTTAGACAGTAATTGAAATAATACATGTCACTGAAGACCAACTTGTCATGTTAACAAAATAACTTAAAATTTCAAAGTCTGCCCTTGATTGTACAATGAGGATTTGGACATTTCACTTTTGTGTTGCAGATTCATTAATATATTGTAAATACAGGGTGGGGTGGAGGAGATGAACACATTTTGAAATGTAATAACTTTGGTGTTTATGTATATAATACATTCTAACAACATTCAGAATGTAGTGCAAATACAGAAATATATGTTGATATGTTCATGTTTTGGGGATTATGTTCTGTAACTAACCTCCTTGATGGCTAATGCACTCCCTGCCACGAGTAATGACATTGTTCATGGTTGCAGACATGTCCCATGGAATACTGCAAATTTTGTTGCAGATCCTGTCCTTTAATTCCTGTGTGGTGCACAATCCGTTGATATTGACTTTGGATTTCAAAAAGCCCTAGAGAAAAAAAGTCTGGTGCTGTTGGATCCAGTGACCTTGATATCCATCCAATGTCACCAAACAGGACACAAGTTTTTGTTAGGCTGGAAAACTTGTGTCCTGGACCTGACAGCACCAGACTTTTTTCTCTGGGGCTTTTTAAAGTCCAAAGCCAATGTCACCAGACTGTACACCACACAGGAATTAAAGGACAGGATCTGCAACAAAATTTGCAGTATTCCATGGGACATGTCTGCAACCATGAACAATGTCATTACTCGTGGCAGGGAGTGCATTAGCCATCAAGGAGGTTAGTTGCAGAACATAATCCCCAAAACATGAACATATCAACATATATTTCTGTATTTGCACTACATTCTGAATGTTGTTAGAATGTATTATATACATAAACACCAGAGTTATTGCATTTAAAAATGTGTTCAACTTCTCTGACCCACCCTGTATACAGGGTGAGTCAAAAGTCCTGCCCACCCTTTAAATGAGAATAACTTCTCAATGCTTGATCTCATTGAGATGCTGTTTTAACCATTTGGAAGACTAGACAATTCTGTATCGAATGAAGGATTTTTGCATTATTTTGCTTGTGATATCATTCAGGAATTAAATTCCTATTCAGGGGGTTATACCAAGGCATTGGCACATGAAAATACCCTTGCAGCACTGCATTTAATTGTCTGTTCGAGTATGAGAGTTATTGTGCCTTGGCTGTGATCAATTCCAATTTATGGAGGATTGAGGAAATTGGCTGATGAAAGATTGACCAATGATAAGTGAGTTGCATGAGTTCAGTTTTACTCTGAATGTGACAGAAACCACTAGACAATTCAGGAAGAAATTGATCAGAGAAACCATCAGCTGCAAGTTTTTTGCCCATGTCAACTCAAATTTTGACCAGACAGGACACATAGCAGACCTCCTCCAATCTGGACACCCTCTGACAGTCGAACAGAAAAATAGACACAGTGCTGCATGCATGCTTTGGGTGCCAATGCTTTTATACGACCCAAGAACAGGAATTTAATTTCCATTGGAAAAATAATGCAAAAATCCTTCCTCGTATAGAATTGTCTTGCCTTTCAAATGGTGAAAACTGCATCTCCATGAAATCAAGCATTGAGAAATTATTAACGTTCAAAAGGCGGCCAGGACTTTTGACTCGCCCTGTATAATCATTAGGGAGCAGATTTTTATGTGCTAATAAGTCCTAAAATATGCACATAAATATGCACTTAAAAATGCCAAAATATGCATGAGGTATGCACGAATATGGGAAAATATGCAAAAACATGTTTTTCTTAAAAATGCAGTACTAATTTTTCAGAAGGAACTTTAATATACATTATATGCCTCTAATGGGTATAGTTGGTCTATTCTTGTCACAGCTAGCAGCGAAGCCAGGAATTCGCCAATTGAGGGCTAAGGGAAACAAATGGGGACTAGAATTTCCTGAACTTCTAGGGAGGGGTGGAGGCGATGGATGAATTTAAAGCAGAGTTAGGGGGCTTCACAACCTCAACCGCCCCCTCGCTACACTGCTGATCGGACTTCATAACTGTTTGAAAATTTTCATTGGTAGCTCATAAAGAAAGCACATTTTCCTGGAAAATCCTTATTTTTCCCATAAAAATGGATGAAATATGCATAAATATGAACATACTGTATATACAGAAATATGCACATGCTGAGAAAAGCATGAAAATATGCATTTTTAAAATGGCATAAATGGCTTCTCCTACCAATGAGACATGATCCTATCTGGGTTGCATGTTTATAGGAGGCTGCAGAAAAATATGCATTTGCATATAAATCCACTCCCTAATAATCACATTCATCGATGGTAGAGTATATTCTGCTCGTCCAAGGTGATTTCAGTGGCAACAAATTGGGGTTTGGTTATTCATTTTTATAACTTCATTGTGTGGTTGTAAGAAGCAACCAGGTGAGCCTTGTGATGCAAGCTTGGCTCCATGAGCAGGTGGCTGGATATAGGGGCAACTGGGGTACAATGGGACAATTTCTTGAAAATTCAAATGTTTTAAAATTAACATGCAAAATTTTAGGAATCCAGGTCATCCTTCCATCAGGGGGCAGTCCTGGATACAATATACCAGGGCTCTTTTCATTCAAAGGAACAGTATTCTGCTGAATGGTGAAATTTCAAAGGCAATCCAAGTGTCCCACTGTAACTCCCCCTAGGCACAGTAGGACAGGCAATTGGGTACTGTGGGACATACCCTGCTTTAAGTAAATAAATGTCAGAAAATGTTTTTCAATTCTTGCATTTCATTTCATTTTCTTGCATTCAGAATAGTATTTTGTTTATTGACTTATTTTTCTTGATTTTGAAAAGAACATATTCAATTCCTGTTTTCCTGGGGTGTTTGTTGCTATTCTTAATTTGCCAATAAGATTCCTTTTATTCTTTCTACATTCTTGTTTAGTTTGCAAAACCTGAAAAAGGGTAATTATCAATAGATGTAACAGTATATAGTATGGTGGGACAGTCAAGGTTATGTCCCAGTTTACCCCACAATCAACTGTCCCACTGTACCACGAGCAACCATGTTTTACAACTGAGAATCACTCGAGCAATCTGACAAAATACCAATGAATAATCAGGGATAGAACCCAGGCACTGCCTATGAAGTGAATTATGCAAATTAAACAAGGCATTTTTGGTCTGGGTTAATTATTCTATTGTGCAAAATATTTGGTCAAAAGACAGAAAATTCTAATATCATGACTATTTCCATCTTAGCTGCATGATTGCAGCCAAATCTTGCACATATGTGGGGAGTGATACAATGGCCCTTGCAGTAGATTTCCATGGATTTCCATCCAGTTTTAGGCAACAAAAAGTTCAGTGTCCCACTGTACCCCAGTCTGCCCTACCTTATATTGTATGTGAATAGGAACACCCTGTACCTATACCTGTTGTCAATTGTATTTTCCAGGTTGCCATGTGGAAGTCATTGCTGGAAGATGAAAATGTTTGGGGTGCATTTGGCTGCCATCCTCGCTTTGCAGCATGTTACAATGACTCCACTGAAAGCTTTCTGCGCCAAGCACTTCAGCATGAGAAAGTGGTAGCCTTGGGTGAAATAGGACTTGACTATTTCAGCAGGTAAATCAGCCTGAGGCCCCTACTTTTGTTGGACAGGGTGTGGCTTGGATAATTATTTATTTTGCACTTAGAATTACTATTTGAAAGAATTTAAACTTCTTCTCAGCTGATAAAATTTAAAAAGATGCTTTCTTTCCCAGTTTCATTGCAGTGTTCATACATTCAACTGGCTTTTGTGGCATTTTCAGCTTCTTAGAGTTAGCATCAGCCTGTTGAAAGTATCACGTGCAATACTGCACAAGGAAGTATTATGTCTAAGTCTAAGAGTGCACCTAATTTACTAATGTGACAAGATGACTCTAGTGATAGCCATGGCTTATTCTCATACTTAACTTTGTTTTCCATTTTTGGACACTTCCAGCAGACTTCACATATTATATGATTGGAAAGAAAGTTCTCGGAATTTCTTGAATATCCAGTACAATTTTTTTCCAGAGCATGCTAGAATGTTCTGCGTGTGTTTATAAGTAGGTCGTGTCCTTCGGCATACAACCGTATATTATTACAGCCCTGGTGCTCTCCAGCCATGAACCAGCCCTACCCTCTTACTAAGGAGCAAGTTCGCCTGCTTCTT